TTTCGTCTCTACCTCAGACGAACCACTGTCTGCCGTCACTCCCTTGAGGCTCCTCATTGAGGTAGGAGTGACGACAAAAGCACTAGTATAGTACAAAGTCCGGAGGAAAGGTGGCTAGCGAAGGAGAGAAAATCGAATGCTAACAAGGGATGGATCTGATTCGAGAACTTTGACTCCCCCAATCGACATCGCGATACCAGACCGGTGCGATGTAATAGCTTAGGCAACGACGGGATCAATCTTATTTTTCGCGTAGCGCACACGATAAGAAATAAAGCTCCCAAAAATAAAGGTTTGATAAGAAAGCTGGCAGCGTTTATCGTTAAGCATAGATATCCAAAAAAATTCAAGCTCCACACATATGCTTGAGAGCCGCAGTAAAATGATGTTTGTGCTACCACACGCCCTCTACATAGTACTTACAAGTACCGCTACTGCAGACCTGCTAAGTTTTTTTTTCATAACGCATTACCAATTCACAACAAACGGAAGAAGAGTTGAAAATACTTATCATCGGCATGTTCCGTAATTATTGACGCTTTGCAGAATGCGTTGTCATGCTTACTAGGGTACTGCGCAAATTCCTTATATCCAATTTCTCACTGGTAATACATGCGTGCTCCTGTCATCATATTCCTCTCTTGGGCACAAATTTTGATAATGGCCTCGCAAACCATGAACTGAACCAATCCTATTGCTGCGAAAACATGATTCTGGAAATATAGAAAGACAACCAACATCTTGTAATGAATATGTCATTCACATTGAGTGACTTCATGCGCAGTTGCGGAAGAAATCGTGAAGCGCCCTCTGGACAATTGAATAGGTACGTTTTCAACGGAGTCCGAATCGCGACGCACTGACGTAAATGACATGATCCATTCCCTAGAATCTGAAAAGAAAACTAGAAAAGCTAAGTGAATAAAATCGCTGAATCACAAAAGCTCAAGAGAAAGAGAAGTGCACTTTAGCGATGGCTACGAATCCAAAATGGACGCATTAATCCGGTTTTCGAACTATACCTATATTCCTCAATAGAAGCTGTGAACAAGGAACATAATTATATTTCCTATTATTATAATTGCTTTGAAATATTTATAATAATAATAACTGGGTTTGAAATCATCTACTTATAATTATGTTCATATTATAATTATATTC